AAGTAGCTTATAATATATTACTAGATATATTAAAAATAATATTATTAAAAATCCTTATAAATATTAAGAATATTATAAAATAAGTTTTTATAAAGTTATAATTGTTGAATTGCTGCTAAGCCGCTAGCCTAGTAGTCGTCACATAACCTAGGGCTATGCCGGAACAGGCATAGCGCCACTAGCCACTAAAGCAAGATTATATTTGAACTTCAGACAGGAGTTGGACATAACTTCTGTACAAGTCACTATATCAACTAGTTGAGAGAGTGCAGACATCCATAGATAGCAGAAGCAGTTTAGCGTTATATTCAACAGGTTATGAGCCCGGAGAGCACCCTCTGAACGCTGACAGACAAACAGAGCATCAAGCAATTAAAGGAGATCCCAATTAGCAGCATCCTGCAATCCCCTATTCCGAAAGGTCCCAAATCCGCCCGGCAGTTCTAGGACCTTAAGTCAATTGGACTCCTCTACAGCCTTAAAGCTCTCCGAAGTCCTCTACAGTCTCTGCAAGATAAGCTCCACCGACAATAATGACCATGAGAAGCGAGAGAAGCTCAAGGGCTTCGAAAACTGGCCTCGTTGGTCTAATTTGGCCCATCTACGTCTGATAGAGAAAAAGCTATAGAAATACATCGCCCCTGGTCTACTAAATGACCCAGATAATTACAGACCTGTGAGAGCAGCCTATATCCTAAAGAGGGACATAAGTGATAAGCTGTTTCAGGGTATTAAGGCTATTAATAACCCACAGCTTATCTGGAATCATCTTAAATCTATATGCTCACAAGCCGGACAGGGCGTTATTTATACATTCTTATAAGAGCTCTTCTCTTATCCGGCTAATTACAAACTCTTTAGCCTTAAGAAGTCTATTAATGCTTGTGTTAGCAAGCTATTAGTTATTATTAAACAGATTTATATAGCTGTCAACCTTATAAGAGATATTTAGAAGGATATTCAGATTATTTAACTTCTTAAGGGTCTTCTTATCTAATTAGATAACAAGAAGAAGCATATCCTTAATTAGAAGAATATAAAGCTCTAGCTAACATTTAATAGATACTCACTTCTAAAGAAGTATAAATTAATATAGACTTTAAGACAGGCCTACTATCTAAAGTAGCTATAAATATGAGATTCAGAAGCAGGCAACGCAAGAATCTGACTAAGATCTAATATTATAACTGTAATAAACTTAGCCACTTTGTTAGAGACTATAAACTAGCTAAATAGACTAAAAGAAGTACTAACAAAAGAAG